AACTGAATTGAGAGCGAAAATTTAGTAAAGTTTGTGAATGTGAAGAAGGAATAAATTTTTCTATAAAAGAAGGGGAATAGGTGTGATGAAGGATCATGCAGGAAGAACAGGAGGCAAATTTGTACGGAGTTTAATAAAAGCAGACGCGAGTTCATTAAGTAGATTGATAGACCAAAAGCATCCATATGAGGATTCAGTAGTATTGTGATGTGTTGAAATATGAAAGCAAAGGTTAATAGGGACAATGAAGAAGCATTTGTGATCTTTATCAGTCGTTTGGTATGGAATAAAAGTTTGTGGATCGTGTAGAACACATCGAGGACAGTCAGCAAGTAGTGTTTTATGATTGTGTCTACTCTTTGGATGGACGTGCATAATATGCGCATAACGCTCCTCTGTTTTAAGTAGTCTTCCAGCGAAGGGTTTGTTGTGTCCAAAATTCCATCCTAATACAAAGGAAATTATACCAGCACGTTTTGTCGGTGGAAATTATTCCTATTTTATTAAAATTTAACTATAAATAAACGGTTATCAATGATTGGTCAATCGTCATGTGAATGCACTTATAGAAGGTGTTCTAATATACCCGGGACTTGGAATTGCTTGCACGTGCAGAACATAGAGGGAGTGCACTTAGCTCTAAATCCCAAGCTTGGGACCGAGCTATGGTGTGCATATAGAGAGGGTGTGCACTTATAGAGGATGCACTTATAGAGGTGTTACTATACCTGAGACATGAAGTATGAGTAATTTACTCGCCAAGTGCTAGGGGGTTTTTAAAAAATCTTGCCAGGTATTACCTGAGTCAAGAGAATCAGTACTTACTGTCCCCCCTATGTGCGACATTTCTTTTTATTATGGTTTTATCATAAATTTTGTATGGATAAATATTTGTTTACTAATTATGGATTTAAACTCATTAAGGGTCAAAATTCGAATGTGCAAAATATTTTTAATGATGTAATTTCTGCTCAACTGGATGTAAGCGATGCTAGCCTTGTTAATCCCACTGCCTTCCATTATTGACACCAATTATGATTCTAAACATTGCAATAGATCTTACGACAAAAAAATATCACAATTTTGAAGGTAGGTTTGAATGCTTATAATTTTTCAATAGGCTTAATGGAACTTGTTTATAATTAGTCGAAGGCCAAGATTATTGCGGACGAGAAAGGCATTAATCTTGTTACAGCTTCCTCTGAATTTCATAGATCTCAAATGATCGCAGAATATTCACAAAATCCAAAACAGTACATAAATGACGATGAAAACATTATCGAAAGCAACAATCATTATCAAGAAAAGATGAAATATTGAGGAATTACCTTTTACACCACCGAACAAGGTCTGAATATAACTTGTTATTTTGTTTTCAAAACCGTCTTTTAATCCTTTCGAAATATGTGCACAGAGCAGAAGCATAAAATGACAAAAGATCCTAGTGAAGAGGTACGACATCTTTTCAATGTATATTCTGCAACAAACCATCATGCGTAGTAAATTAACTTTTTCTTCTCAATATCTAGGTCCCAGCTTACAATGATGAAAGTGACAATGAGAGTATTATAAGCAATTCACCACTTCACAACGAATTTGTAGGGGAGATGAAGATGGCTGATGAAACCAAAGAATATTACTCTACGGAATCTGTTAATGATGAAGATGATGACTACGTTTTTAGTTCGGAGTCTTCGTCTCGTGATAGTTTCGATAATGATAATACTGTTGTAGATGATAGTAAGCTGAAGACAAAGATAGAGTTTACTGAATTCGAAAAGACTTACTTAAAAATGAATGACTCGGACAAATGGATTCTTTCTACGGAAAAGATAGTAGAAGTTGTTCTATACGATTTTGGTATTAAATGCAGGCATGAACAGTAAATATCCTTTATGTATTGGACAAAGCTCGGGTGTTATTACTTGACATCTAACATTTTGCGACTTTCCAAAGCCTATGTCACTCATTTGTAATAGATCCAAATGACAACATTTATATCGATGAAGAAGTTTTTACTGAAACTGAACTTGATGAAATTTGAAAATATAAACTTAAGCCAATGCCACAGATGCCCCAAGACTTATTAATGTATCTTAACAGTTTCGAGTGGTAGGTAGTTTTATATATCTTGTTGATAATACTATTATGATCATTTACTTACTTATACATCCTAAATCAGTCCGACATCTCAAGCCTTAGAAATGCTATATTTAAATCTCAGAAGTTGATTCTCTATACAATCGACAAACATATTTTGATCATGATTGGATTCGAAATACTGCGTACAACTTGTAGGTTCTGTACAATAGTAAATTATTTCTTTTTATTCCTGGATTATTAATTTCTATCTTGATCTACAGATTACATGAATATGAAGCGGTGAGTTTAGAGAAGGATCATCTGAAATTGTAGCTCTTAATTCATGTTTGGAATTTTGTAGACAGAGGATTTGGGAATATCGATGGATTGGAAACCGCAAGGTAGGGAAGATAACACTAACCATTCTTCTATGATAAGTGGTTCACATCTTTTTTGCATCAGGTCGGAGTCATCTAGCCGGGCATCCTCGAATAGGAAAAATCGTAATCGAATCGGATCTGCAATTGTCAAAATGAAGAGAAAGATTATGAGAAGGCGTGGAGATCTTATCATTCGAAAGGTTTCTACTGAGTACGGATGTTCAGAGGCCGGTAAATCTTTTAAAGGTAGCAATGAGACAAAACTTTTGCATGAAAGAGGTATAAATATGTTTTATTCTTTGTGTGAAGCTGTTGGAAATTAAGAGAAAAAGATAAGGAAACTACAATCTATCGGGTTTATACACTCAGGTAGGTGTTTATTATGGAGTCCCTCACATATATATTGTTTTAGTGACTTATTTTATCATTTCTCTGAATGAAATTTAGGTCTGATGATATTATTGCTTAGATTAGATTCCCCTGCTGGCATACATGCTGAATAACTCGAACAAAAATGTTGGAAATCCCCTCACAAATAACACAATTCAGCTCAAAAGTACTTCCTGTAATTATGTTGGCGTGGAAGGCAAAGGTATGTACTTTTGTTTAAGCACTTGTAGTTTACAATCGCTTAGGTCTAATAATTTTTGTTATTTCACAGATGATTTTTAAGGAAACAATCGAGTTTATTGAGCAAAAGCAATATTTAGATGATGAAGAAAATACAGACAATCAGCTTCAAAATTTACAAAACAGTTGTGAATTTTCTCCTCCATGGAAAAAAATAAATCAAGCGGTTGCTTTTGATTCCCCGAGCTCAAAGAACAAGACTAAAAAAAGGATAACTCTGAACTCTAATAACAAGCCTAAACGAAATTCTAAGAAATAGTCTCTTATTTTTAATCACTAGTTTGTTGTATGTAGTGTATGTTGTATTAGCTAATGGGCTTCATAATCATATACTGCCACCCGGAAGCACTTTATTTTATCATATTCATTTCTTTTAATAGTTACTGCATTTGCCTTAATAATTAAAGCATTAATAAAATATTTGTAAAAATAAATAGACAGGTTAAATATGAGCTTATTGTCTTGAAAAAGAAATTGCTTAATTTTAATAAAGAAACATTTGACCGTTATGTGCCAGGGAAGTATTGTGGTTTCCTGTACTACATTTTTTATGATTACGTCATTATGGGCCTGGAAATAATTTGTGATCATTTAATTTAACGAATCATAACATCGGAAAAAGTTATGAATCTGTTTTTCACCCCAAAGTTCTTTGAACAAGTGGTGTAATCGAATAAAAATGAATCTGGTATTTTATTATAATATACTTGCTATAAATTACTATAAGTCATTAAATTGCTAAAAACGCTATAAATCACTAAACTGCTATAAATTGTTTATATCTATAAAATGGCTAAATTTAAGTCCTATAGTAGTGCAGGCATTAAACCATCTGCAATATAGGTATAGTAATGAAACACCAGAAATGTGGTATTCTTGTGTTCGTTATCCATTTAAGAAACTTTTTGAATATAATGCAAAATACTTTTCGAAGAATGGATTTATCCATATGACTGAAAGATCATATAAAGATAGGAAATTTAAAGCTGGGAGGGTTTCATTTCATATTTATTGCACTGTATGTGACTCCTTAGTAATTATCTGAGAAAATACCATCAAATATGTAAATGATCACCTGAAGAAATGCATTGCCGAAAGACGCCTTGTATATTCTAAACCTGGAAAAAAGGAGGAAGTGTATCAATACTCACTTCTGATGAGATTAAAAAGATTTGTCAAATATATTGTTTTATATTCAGTAAAGGCTTAGCTAATTATAGTTATATGCATGAATATGAAATTAGGAAAAGGTATGTAAATTGTTTAATCAATAGTGCAAAAGTTTATCCAACGGGTTTGGAGAGCTTACAAGTTGAGACCTGAGACATGTGCAAAATGAGTTTGGAATATGGTGATATAGGGCATTTTGGGGGTTCTGGGACAGCTCTCAAATCCGTCTATATACCCAGTTTGCTATATGATTTCTAATATCAAATTCAAAGCTCTAGCGCTTTTTTGACTCAAATATAGATAATGTTAT